ATGCCCATGTACTCCACGGCCTGTGCACTGCAGCCTGACCGTCCCCATTTCCAAGCTCTACAGGTTACAAAGCACTTCTGCTTGTATTTCTGCCTTCAGGGAAACCTAAAGACAAGCATCAATACTCCTGCTCTGGAGTCTCAACACCCCCACTTTGCAGATGAGGAAAGCAAGGCTCTAAGAGGGGGATAACTTGTCCATATTATCTATGCAGAGAATATCAGATCCAGGTGAGACACAGGACCTTCCTCTACTGCACCGGGACACCCCCCACCAAGCACTGTTTGATGTGACTGAGGATGTCCTGGATTATACCAACTATATGTCCTGAGATAGACAAGACTGACGGGTGTGCTGAAGGCTGCACAAATACTCTAGAAAAAGAACTCCTGACCTAGATAAGCGATGACACAAGCTTTTTTTTTTTTTTTTTTTTTAAATGTAGAGAATCCAGAGGGATGCCTCCACGGTATGAGAGAGGAGATACAGAAAGAACCCAGCCAGCATGTAAAACAGAAACTGAAGAACGCCTTTCAAGACACTCTAAAGCCAGTAAAGGACGGGATTCTTTACATACATTCAAGCAGAAACAGCTCGTGGGTAACCACAGGCTACAGGGGTGGGGACAAGGAGGCAAATTCAATGACCTGCTAAGCTTGGCCCCTTGTGGCAACAGAGGCTGGGGAGATTCCTCTTCTGAAACCTGTCTTCTGAAGGAGTGGAGTCTGAGGCCCAGCTCAGAAGCTTCTAGATCTCCTTGGTAAACAGAGAAAACACATCCCCAGGAGAGAGGAAGTGAGGACTCATCAGCAAATGACTCAGTGTGTGCCTTCGAAGAGCATCATCTAGAAAAGGGGAGGCCCGCCAAGGAGGCCCCCAGGCCTCCAGAGAGGCCCCCGAAACTCTGGCCCTGTCCACCTGAGTGGAAAACAGCCATTTCAGTGAATCCAGAGCCAAGAGCACCACCTGAACACAAAATGACATGGTTCCCAGAACAGGGAATCCTCTATTTTCAAACTAGTGAGTTTGTTTGTTAGCAGGAAATAAACCTATGGATAACAGGAAGTTGGTGGATGTAATTTCTGCAGACCTTCAAAAGGCATCGGAGATGAATCCAGACCAGAAACTATTTAAAAGACTGAATCACACGAGAACTGGGTGGTTCTGTGGCGGATCAGGCTGGAGTAAAGCCAGTAAACAAAGAGCGGGGGCAGCAGGCACTTCTCTCAATGGAAAAATGTAAACAGTGGGGTCCCCAGGGTTTGGACTGGTTTTACTTCATCGAGGACTCAGAAGGAGAAGGAAGTAGGAGGCGCACAGAGCGCGAAGGAAACTTAGCGCCCTGGGTGGAGGCGAGCAGGTTGATGGGCCTCACCCACAAGGCCCCCCTGCTATGGGCTGGGCCCACCCCGCTGCAGAGAACACGGCTCGGAGTGCACAGCAGGGGCACGTGGCGAATCTGCCATAGAACCGGAAAGGGTGGTAGAGGAGGACTGATCTGAAGTGATGCCCATGGGGGGAAAAGCACTTAGAATAAACCCAGAGAACTTTTTCACCTGAGAGAGAGGAACACAAGGAGTCGTTGGTGACTGCTTGGGCCAATGTAGCTCTTTAAAAAGTTTTAAATTATAGGGGGGAAAAAAACAGGAGGAGGGGAGGAGTAGGTCAAGCACAGAGGAGGAGAGAGGACAGGGCTTCCAGCAAGGCAAGCTCTCCGAAGTCAGAAGGAGCCCTGTGACGGTCAGAGGCCCAGGAGGCAGCCAACACCTGGCCCTGGCGGGTGATCCCCGAGCCCCGGGGAGCGCTGGGGGCGGGGGAGAGGGGGGGGCTGCACTGTCCCAGGCCCACCCCCTCCCAATCGGCCCCTCTCTGGCCCTGGTCGCTGGCCCCGGGCTCCAGGCCTGCACGGCCGCATGGCCACCCCGCGAGGACCTCACCTGCTGCTGGCTCTGCTCCTCGAGGTTCATTTTCACCTCCAGCGACTGGCGGGCCTCCAGGAAGGCCTTGCGGTGCTTGCGGTCCGCCATGTAGTAGGACATGACGCCCACCGTGATGGCGCACAGGTAGAGGCAGACGTTGGCCAGGATCTGTGCCCCGAGGAGAGAAAAGGACAATGGTGAAGGCACATGCTCAGGAGAGAGGATGGAGAAGGGGGGGTGGGTGGTAACGAAAATCAAACCCCTAGTTGTCCAGTGTCCAGGGAGGGCCCCGGCGAGCCTCTGACCCTGATGGGACGTTTAGGGCCTTGGAACAGACCCTGCCCCGCTTACCATAGGCAGGTGAGGCCCCGGCCTGGAAGGCTGGTTATGGGGCTGTTTGCCTCTCCTGCTCACAGTGCAGCTAAATTGGCTGATCCCGTGCACCTGTGTGGCCTGACGGTCCCTCTGCTCCCCAATTCATTCATTCTCTCATTTGTTCAACCACTGCTTACTGAGGACTCACTTATTAGGCGCCCTTAGGTGCTGTGCTGATTAGCTGGGAGGCGAGTGTACAAAACCCCGATCTACTAGCTGGGGGTGTATAATCCTAAAAGCTGCAGGTTGCACTGAAGGTCACAGATGTGAAGCCGTGTTGGGCCAACTCCCAGCCCTCACGCTACCTTCCACGTGACGCTGCAGGTATACAGGTGTCTGGCATTCACGGGCATCCTCCCAGCCAACCCCACCTGCCAGCAGATGAGGGGTGGCCGGTACCAGTACCGAGGTCCCATGAGGAAGTTACGGGAAGGGGACAGGGCAGCTGTGCGACGGATGTCTGTCCTGCAAGCTCGGTACATCGGTACAAAGGCCTTCTTGGGCACTGAGTCTGTTCCTCCATCCTTGGCACCCTCCAGGCTCCACTAGGTGTCTGTGGTCCCCAGTCCGTTTCCACAGGCTGCTGGGATTGCAGACTCAACCGCCTCCTGCTGCAGGTAACCTTGGATATGGACCTGAACGTTCAAACCACATCTCATTTCCTGGTGCTCATTTCCTGGGCCCCAGTCTTTGACCCTGACTGGGCCCCATCTGGGGCTGCACCAGGTTCTAGCTCCTCCTGCTTCTCCAAAGCCACCTGCCAGGAGCCAGCTCCAACAAGGTCTGGCCCTGCCCATGCCCTGAGGCTCACACCCTCCCTACCTGGGTTCCCTGAGGTCCCGCCTGAGGAAGGCAGACCCCTCCTCTGAAGGGCGTGGTTTCTCAGGCAGAAGTCTAGCTGAGATGCGGGTAGGGAGGCAGAAGTTCTTCATTTCTGGCCCCAGGGGGAGAAAGTGTTCTCTTAGTGAAGGATAATGGATTCTGGGTAGCTGAAAAATGCAGGGAAGTCAATTTTAGATTTTTAAAGAAGATGGCTTAATAGACGATGAGAGGTTAATTCTGACATTAATTTTCTGGATACTCTTGGTTATGCCATATTCCCCTCTGTTTTTGCGTTTTATCAGGGCTGATCAGTGCTAACCCTGAGGACCCACCACCCCCGGCAGAAAGTTCCTGCAGGCCTGGGCACTCATCACAGGCCCACTGAATAATGAGTTAGTACATGCGATGTGTCTTGAGACTGGTCATAAAGTCACCAGACGCAGACCTCACAAGCTCCTTAAACTGCTGGTTCCAGCAACTAACAACTCATTGTGTTCTTGGGGCTGGGCAGCCCCATCACTATACCATTCATGGGGCAAGTGGGCAATTTCAAAAATCCTAAGGGATATCTCTTGAACTTTTGCTTGGACATGATAGGCCATTCCCACCTGAGCACTATCAATATGGCCTCAGGACACTTATTAAATACCTGATAACCCAAAGAGCTGCCAATTTACATTAAGTGAGTCAAAGCAAATCACAAAGATCACGCTGCGTCTCCAAGCCGGTCTGGCCTGAGGTCCAAGAATGTCTACCAGCCCAAAGGTCACCTTCCTCTGGGGGCTGTATAGCCTTAGAATCTGCCCAGTCCCAAATTCATGGCACAGGAAGCTAGTCAACAAGGTCAGGCTGTACCTCAGGCATCTCACCGACTGGGGGCACTTTGCCAAAACCCACACAGGGTCCGGATACAGCAGTCACCAGGGCTGAGGGTCTCTAGGTCCTAGAGGTCAAGGGAGTAGCTGCATGCAGACGAGCCACAAGTCTGGGCCCCATACCTACCGGTGTCAACAACTCTGAACCAGAGGCTCCAGACCCATCTCTGGCCCTGGCCACCACTTGGGCTGTCACACTGAGCCATGGACAGAGCTCTACACCTAGGGGTCTCTTGCCCCCCAACAGGTCCTGCTGTCCACCTCACGGGGTGGATAGAGCAGACTCCATAAAGTGTAAGCACTGAGCCGGTGTCAGTAATAACTGTTTTACTCCCCATCGGGGTCCCTCCTTAAGTAAACCACCTGCTCTGTAGACAGAGAGCAACTATAACAGGAAAGCTTTAAACCAACTCCCACCAAAGGTTATTATCCAAAGAGTATAAGAGGGGTGCCTGGGTGGCTCAGTCGGTTAAGCGTCTGACTCTCGATTTTGGCTTAGGTCACGATCTCTTGGTTCGGGAGTTTGAGCCCTGCGTTGGACTCTGTGCTGACAGTGTGGAGCCTGCTTTGGATTCTCTCTGTCCCTCCCCTGTTCCCTCTCTCCCTCTCCAAACAAACAAACAAACAAAGAGTATAACAGGATTCAGGTTTGGTTCACAATGGAAACCATCTCTACGGGACAACACTCCCTTCAGCCTATTTTAAAATAAGACCCACGTTTGCATTCCACTTGGCAGGTGCAGAAAACAAACTTAGGAGGAGCCCTGGACTGTTGCCCTGCCCCTCGCTGGATGGGGAACCTGCTACGTCAAGAAACTTCCCTGAGCCCCCACTTCACCACCTATGAGCTGAGGGGCCGCCTACCTCATCTCGGAAGTCCCTGCAGTCCTGACCCCGGCTGGCCCTCATCAGACCTCACTTCTGAGGGCAAAGGCGGGCCTGGAAATAACCTGCTTGGAAAGGCTGGAGGGAAGGCAAGGCGGGTCGGTTCCCAGGGTGGCCAGAGGGTCATACCGCTTCCTGTCCCCTGCCCACCCCTTCTTGACCTGCACTCTCAGCTCATCTGTGAGGGGATGTGGAGGCAAATGGCCATGTCCAGGCCACACGCCGGAGAGTCCTGTGGGTCCCGCACATCCCCCCCATGCCAGGGAATTCTCTCCCTGCATCGCAGTGAGCTTATTCCTTCCTAGAGGATTCTCCCAGGAGCCCCAGGCTGTGCTTCTCAGAGCTCCCCCAATTCTCTAAACTTACCTCAACGAAAGGGTCCTCAGGGTTGCTGTGGATCCCGTGCTCCCCAGAGCCACCTGAGGTAGTGCAACCACGTCACAACTTGCCCCTCACCCCAACCCCTTCAGAGGGGTCCAGTATGGTCTTCCCCCTACTTGCCCTTCCCCTTCTGGGGAGCAGATGAGCAGGCCAGAAGCCATCACAAACCTGACCTCCCAGCCTCATGGTCTCCCGGGACGCAGCGCTCTAATATCCCAGCTGCTGCACCCCAACCCTCTCCCACGCCACCTCAGCCCAAGAACAGAGGAATGAGGCTCGGTCACTTTGCTGGGCGGGGTATAGGCCAGGACAGTAGTGGGGATGGTCCTGGAAATATCCAGGAGATGAGGCTGCGCAAAGATGCAGACAGAGGTCGGGTGGGTGGGGATCACATCCGATCAGGGAGGTGACGCACGGCTTCAGGAAGACGTGGGCTCTACAGAGATGGGGTCTCAGAAACAAAGACTGCCTCGGATACCACACTCAGCGACCAAGCGTGGCAGGAAGGCTTCTCCTCTCATCATCGTCAATGACTGCCTGAGGGAGCTCAGCGCCAGGGGTTTGCAGACATGACACCTGACCCTGTGAACAGACAGGGAGGTTCCCAGCTCAGGCAGTTCCGAAGGCCAAGCAGGAGCCCTGATGCGGCATCCTGGCTCTTTCGGGGTGGCCCAGGAGGGGGTGGGGGCAGCTTGTCACACTGGACTCAACACACATTTCCGTCTCGGGGGGGATTCCCCCGCACAAGCCTGAGAAGCTCTGCTCTGGGGTGCCACGGAGGTCACCTCTTCTTACCCCAGGGAACCCCTTTCCCCAGTGAAAGAGACTGGGCAGCAATCTCATTGCAAAAGAACTGTTATTTTTTCTTAAACACAAGATTTTTAAACTAACAAGGAGAATGAACGAATCTCCCAAGTGGGTAAACATTCAGACTCAACAGCTTCATCTAACCCAGGACAGCCGGATGAAATGTTTGTAATACCCCAGCTCAGAAATGCAGCCGTGAGAAAATTCCTTTACGAAGTCCTTCCTCTTGGAATTTGATGAATCACAATATCCTGCACATTTCTGCCAGTCCACAGGGACATGGGGCTGCTCTAAGCAGGGCTTTAAAAGAGAAGTCATCCCCCTGGAGGCAGGCTGGTGCCTCAACTGCCGAGGCTGACCCCTCCCCATAGGCTCATTCCAGCCTGGAGATTCCAGAATACTCCAGAACTGGGGAGAAGAAACCCAGGGAGAGAAGGCTGCTCTGGGAGCCAACATCCTTGTGAGCTGCCCTTGGAGACCTCATGATGCTCTGCTGTCAGGGGAAGACCATACTGGAGCCTCTGTTCATTAAAACTAACTTAGATGTTTTGGGAAAAAAAAAAAAAAAATTTCCACGGAGCCGTAAAGCAGGAAGGAACAGGGCAGAAGTTATCTCTGCAGACAACCAACCTCCCCAGCCCAAGGAAGACAGGCCGAAGCCTGGGGTGGCCACCACTCAGTGCCTGTGGGCCCCACTCTGGAGCCGTGCTCCC